AATATTTTCGAAAACCAACTACCCAGGGATTCATATCTAATAATGGCCTATCTAACTTTAAAAGAAGAGCGAATTTGATTTTTTGACCCTTGCCACGAATTCTTGAATTTGTTCGATTCTTGTGGACATTGCCTCTTAAATGATTTATATGTGTTTTATTAGTACATTTTGTGTCCCTTGGGAATAAAGAGTGGCCCAAATATCATTATTTTGACTGCTTTTCTACGTAGTTTAAAGTTGATGAAAAAATTGGCTAACAGTTAGAAAAACTATATACTACCTAGTCAGCGATAGTCATCTCTTTGGCAATAATRTTAATCTGTGGTCAGCGGCATCTAAATTTTTGCAATATTAATCTATATTTAGTTTTTKTATGCAATTATTAACGACCACATTATGAGTTTTTCTTTGAACACTCACTGGTTAGCGGTACTCATCACCGTGGCAACCTTCGTGCTTCCACAAAAAGCTCATGTGTGTTCGTCCAGCGGTAGCTGTTCCCATGTCAACTGTGTTTGTCTATGTACAGTTTAAGCTCAGTATCTATAGAATATTTAGCAATTATTCGCCGAAGGCGAAGTGAATATCGGCTCGCGTCTCGGTAAATATTCCCCATATTCACCGAGCCAGAGGCGAATAATTGTTATAGCATAAACCAACTTGTGTACAGAGTAACTTATTTTTATATGCAATAATTTAATAAAAACAAACAAACAGAAACTTTTAGGCCATACTTCGTTGCCTTTTTAGTACTGATAGGAATGGCATTTACTCTCATTTTTTCAATTTCCTCATTGGAAATTGTAGCAAAACGATTGCCGGCGGAAACCATTTTGTTGCCGACTCAATATTCCGAGATTCAGATGTGAATATCGTACAATATTCACCTCCAATTAACCAATGAGCGCGCGCGTTCTTAGGAAGTACACAAGTTGGTATATGCTAATTGACGGTATATTTTTCGTACTTCCTGATCAGCGGTAGAAAGGTTGTCTCTATGGTAACAAGGTTACTAGTTATTGAATGAGAGTTCCCTTTACACGTTTTGGTCAGCGAGTTTACTTTCCTCATCAAGGTGACTTTTCGGGGTGGTGTGGGTGCTTGCTGCTGTCGTACTCACGTCAACCTGGTTCTTTCGGTACTTCCTACAACACACCAGGTCCTTCAAATGGCGCCGAAATTTGCYGCTCTGGAAGGTATAGATGAAGGGGTTTATAGTAGAATTGCATGTGACTATGACTATGCTGCAGATATACGTCACGTCTCCGTAGGTGTACCCGGGGTGGTAGTAGTTGAGGGCGTAAATSGTGAGATTCGGTAACCAACTCAGACCGTATATGATGCTRACGGTAACGACCATCTTGGTAACTCTCTTCCTTGACCTAAGAACAGCTAACTGGGTGCCTTGGAGTTCATGAGGYGACTTCTTGAACCACAAAGTGTAGACCACTTTACTGTACAGAACGAACATCATGGATATTGGTACAACCCCAGCGACAATGAACCACACCGAGCYGTAAGCCTTAGCCAGCCAGTCGGGCTGTTTTGGCCACACTTCCATGCAGAAATTATTMTTCTTGTCATAGAATATCGTCAGGAACAACGGTAGGTTAAGAACGACAGCGAAKATCCAGCATGCAACAACAATTTGTTTGACTTTTTGGACGGTGAGTTTTAGCTTCTGCGAGTAAGGATGCATGACAGCGAAGTATCTCTCAAAAGCGATGGCGACGAGAGAGAACACAGAGCCTGCGCCCCCCGTCCAGGTAAAGTTCCCTCCGGTCAACAGCTTACACACTATCGTACCTGAAAGGCCGTCAGGGTGGGTGAAGAAGTGGCTAAAGATGAACCTCGGAGCAATAAAGGTTGCAACCATGATGTCGGCTATAGCCAGRTTGAYGAGTAGGAAGTTCATTGGTGTACGCATGGATTTGTTGGAGAGGATTACGAAGATAACAAGGGTGTTRCCGATCAGATCCAGGGTCACGAGGACAGAAAATGTAAAAGTGATGCCTATCTGGGCACCTCTGTTACTGGAGTAGAGGCCAGACATTTTGCCAATCTATAAAAGAAAAGAAGCAATATTAAAGAAGTAGAAAACGCGCGCGCGTGTAGAGTGCAGTCATAAAATAAAGCACGCGGGGTTTGGCAGAAGACGAGAGAAGTGTTAGGAGAGGGTAGAGGAGTACTTCTGGACACTTCTCGAGTGTTCTGCCAATCCCCAAGTGCTTTATGACTGCACACCGCACAGCAAGCAAGTTTTTTATTTCTTTTATAAAATACAAATTACAATGACCGTTATTTTARWTTTTTTTACTTAATGYTAATACGACTGGAGGTATACTTAATTCACCAGCTGTGACCGGAAGTACAGAAGATTAGTTCGTAAAACTGTACGCTTTCTTTTTTCTTGTGATTTTTCCCCCTTTCCATCCTATTCCATCTTATCCAATCCGTTTTTCCCAAATATTTATGCGCAACTATACTAATTCTTACCTTGACAACTGAGAGAAGCCAAGCTGCTACAATGAAAGATCTGACATCCTGACAAATAGAACGAAAAGTTACAATAAAAGTGCTGTTATGTGTTTGGCTCAGAGGCAAACCCTTTGAGTGCTATTGCAAGGTATTTAATTATTTGATTGGTTAAGCCATTTTAGAGTACGTCAAGGTACTGTAATGTTATTGGTTCAAAAAAAGGAACCCATGTGGGTGTTCAGGTGTTTAGCATGACTCAAAGCGCAAGCCATTTGAGAGTCAAAATACTGTTATGTGATTGGTTCAGAGTCATTTGAGTGACATATTTTATACTTTCACCCTACGAAGTCTATTAATCACAACCCAAAGACACATAACGTTTTAAATAAACACCTTGTGATAAAACGAGTTGAGTGGTTATTGGTTTTCTCCAATCTCAAGCAGATGTCAAAGGAAACTCAAACAATGAAGTTTTTAAATTATCAATCCTTTTTTAAGTAAATAAACAAAGTTTTCCCATCACTTAACTACAAGTCACCAATAATTCTCACTCTCAGCATCAATTCATAACAGAAAATTATGGAAAAGTGACCAATATATTGTTTATAATTTTGATTTAAACCCGTTACGCAAACTAGGACATCCTGAGGACTGCCATACAATAGAAAAAATAATTCATTAATAAATATGGCACGCTCTCCAAATTATCTTACAGAATTCCCTACAGCTCTTACTACTCCACAGGCGAGTCTTTAGACACTGTCCCACTAGTCGTGTCTCCCATTGATYGTTTTATATGTTCCATATGGCTCCGTTGATCTATTCTATTTAGYATATACTTTCTCATTGAATTATTTTGAACCCAGCATGGTTCTCTCTTTTCACTTAAYAAGGGTAGCTCTTTCGCGTACAGTGTCCATAGGTAATACAGACACCGAGCCGCCATTCCCTCCTTAATACTTTCCTTGTTTGGGTACTTTACGCTTAGAACTGCATTGAGTTAACGATGTAATACGGTTGGAGATGTATAGAAATTGAACAAAGAAAATTCATTCCTCAAAAATGTTCAAACTATCGTTGTAAAATGACCGATAGCGTCCTACATTTTCCTGTAAACGGCACTGAAATGGTGAAGCCACTTGCTTCATGAATAAATCAAAAGATAAAAGAAAGAAAGAAAGAAAGAAAATGAACGAAAAAAGAATGAAATGAAGGAAGGAAACAAGCAAACGAACAAAACGAAAGAACGACAGAAAAGCAGCGACAAGAAATAAAAGAAAGAACAGAGAGAGTA